CCCAAGAGGATAAGGATCGTCATAATAAATAAAATTCTATTACATTATTGCTTAATTCCTTTTAAAAACAAGTTTTCTTATGCCTCAATAATTATTTTCAATTAAACCCCAACTTTTGTTTTTCTTTTTCCAATAATTTTAATATGCACAACATGCCAACAACGTTAACTTCAAAATTATCAGTATCAAATTAAGTTAATAATTTGGTCTTTCTTTAGTTTCAGTTTGGTTACAAAATCCAGTTTGATCCATAGAGGTTCAGCAGCTTCAATTTTATTTAGTTAAACTTTATAAATTATGTCTAACTATATTTAATATGTTATATGTTTTCTCTTTACCTAAGCTAGTATTTATTTTTTATTTAACTAAGTGTACTAGAGTTGGGTAAAAAATTGCGAAGAAGAAAATTAATTGGGGAATAAAATATGATTTAAGGATGAAATGCGAAAGTATATTTCAATTAAAAAAAATTTAGCAGATAAAACACCTATTAGAATACAACTAAAATTGTGAAAAAGAAAGTAGACTTTTGGGTGGGTAAAATATGATTTAAGGACGAAATGTGAATTATATGTCAATCAGAATACAATTTAATAGATAAGATACCTATTATCATCTCAAAGGTCGATAATTCGATCTTTCACATTATATTTATTGAACTGAAGGAAAAATAAGTTTAGACCTAAGCAAAGAAACCAAATTAAAAATTCTAAAGTTATAGGGACGAAATTGTGACTAAGTGGTCCTAGTTTAACTGGTTAAGTTATGTATCTTCGACCAAAAGGTCGGATGTTCGATCATTCACCCCACATGTTGTTATAACTCAAACAAATTTGGACTCATAAACCTTTATAAATTACATTGAAAATAACTCGAAATTATATAGACCAAATTAAAACTTTTTCTTTTTTGTTTTCTCAAGGAGTAGATCCAATTGAAACTTTTATACTATACCAGCCAAATCGAAATTAAGTCTAATTTGTCCTTTTAGAGTTCATGCTCAACAATTGTGAGCGAGGCCTAATTCTAATAAGTAGAATATAAGAACGTAGAGATCTATAAATAAACATCGAACCATCAACTTTCTAATTAAAATATAACGACGTAGAGAGTACAGAGCTCAAAATTACCAAGAGTGAGAATAAATTTGGAAAATGAAATGAAGGGACGGGTGGCGTAAAAGGACACCCTGGAAATCCGTAATACTGAGGTGATTGAGATTTTAGTGTCGAAATAGAGGGGAGACATTGGTCATTTCACTTATTGGTCATTAGTTTTTCATTTTTCCTGTTGGTTTAATAATTTTATCTGTGGCTGTGGGTAGAGAGAAACTACTCTTTCCATTTGGGGGCCTTCCCCTCTCATTTTGTTGTCACAAATGGGTGCACACGGTCAACTCCTTTCTCCCATTTGCAAAAAGAAAAAAAGAAAAATAAAAACAAATAAAAACTAATTACATACATGAACCAATTTCCCCAAAAAAAAGAACTTTTGGTGGCAAATTTGAAAACTTTGG